CTCGGGCATTCCGCGTTCTGACAAAGTCTCGACGTAGGAGATGTGGGGCTTACCCTCCGTCCTCCTCCTCCTCCTCCGCTTCCTAGCCGCCGGGGACAAACAATGGTGGTTACACCATGAGTCCGGCGACATATTACATTTCCAAGGCCACGGCCTCCACGTTATCCCCCAATGGGTACGGGCGGGCTCTCCAAGGGAGCGCGCACGACTCCCGCGTTCGCTTCGCTTCGCTTCGCTTCGCTTCGTCTTCTCTTCCTTGAGCAGCCATTTTAGTCAAATCTGGCAAGTTCCCCGGGGGGACATAGTGGAAACCTTTGATCCGAGGCGTTTCAAGGTCCTTGTCCACTGGCAGTCGGGCGGCGCAGCGCAGCCATAGGCCGCGGCGGGCGCGGCAAGGGCAGCTGCCGATGCGACGGCCTGCCCCGCGAGGCAGCGGGTGCCTTCGGTGGCGGTGGCCAGGGCCAGGGCAAGGGCGGAAGCAAGGAGTCCTACGCCCAGATCGTCTCACAGTCCGCGGCCGCGGCGGCAGCCGCCATCGCCGACGGGTCATCATCAGGCGGGAGGGCAGCCATGACCCCTGCGCGCAGGCCCACGTCATCTGCCGCGGCTGCGGCCACGAGTGGACGTGCACGGACCGTGAGACGTGGCTGCGAGTGCGGCGAGCTGGCCCCGCCCTGCAGCGCCCGAAGGCCCAGGCGCAGCCCCAGGCCAAGCCTGTCGCGGCGGCGTTGGCAAAGCAGCCCCCAGGTGGGCGCGACCCGTGGCGTTCGGCGGCCCCCAGAGCGACTCAGCAGCAGGCGCTCGAGCAGCAGGGCACCGTGGGTCTCCTCGGCGCAGCTCGAGGCAGTCCGCGCCGCACTCCGGCCCAATCTCGACCCGAAGAGCCTGGCCAGCCGCGCCTTGGAGTGGAGCGGAGAGTGCGCTCGAAGGCGGGCGCCCCCGCCGAACAGGATGGAGGGCCCCTCGCGCCGCGACCGCTGGCGCAGTCGGGCACCCCACGGCGCGCCTGCCTTCTGGGGCTCACGGCCAGAAGCGCACCTGCCTGGTGGGTGGGCGCCGCCTCCCTTCGAGAGTCAGTGACGGAAGCTTCCGCTCGTCTCGTACTGAATGTACATCGGCGAACAGCGCCCAATAGCGCCTTGTAGCGCTAAATAGCGCCCAGTAGCGCCGACTAGTTCCAAATAGCGCCCAAATGACGCTCAACAGCGCCCAATGACGCCATGCGACGGAGGCGCATCATGTCTGCTTGGCGCGGTATTGGACACGCAATTGGGCACCATTGGGACGACCAAGAGCTTCCGAGAGTTGCTTCCGCATGTCGGCCACCCGCCCGACGACCGCGCGGGCGGCCTCGACGGTGTCGCGAGGCAGGCTGTCAACATGCCTACGCCGTGACCCTTTCACATATTTTACTAAAAACTTAAACATGCTGGGCCACTCCTTCCATCGACGGGCTGGGTGCCCGACGTCGCGCGGCCGCTCGCGGAGCGCGAGGACGGCTGCGACAGCTGGATGGCGGCGTGCGCGACGTGCGTTGACCGCCGTCTGGAAGCCATGCGCGCGGGGGCGGTCCGCGGTGCCAGGCGCGCGCAGCGTGCCAGGCGGCGCGTGGAACAGCGGCAGCCGAAGCCGAGCCGGGCAGCGCTATCGCCAACTCGTGGGGCTGGGGCCCCGTCGCACGGGCGCGGCCAGGCGGCGCGCCGTGACGCCCGCGCTCAGGGCCCCCGGATCGGCGATCGGAGGGCAGAGCGCGCCGGGCATCTGCGACGCGGGCACCGCTCGACTGCGCGCAAGAGTGGCCCTTCGCTGGAGTGACCTTTTTGGTGCGGGCCCACATGGGCCCCCAACACTGGCTTCAGGAGTGTCCAACAGGGCGCCATGACGGCCGACGATGCCTTCAAAGCGTGCCAAGAAGTTTTCGAGGCCTCCCCTAGCCGGGACCCCAAAGGAGGAAATCGAGCGGGCTTCGAGAGCCGTGCGCCCAAGACGGCCCTGACGACCTCCGAGCTCGTCCCTAGACGGCCCAGAAGAAGCCCTAACATGGCCCAATAAGGGTCTAAGGCAATTCAAGAGGGCCCCAAGAGGGTCTCAAAGCGGCTCAAGATGTTCTAAGAGGGCACTCGAAGGAACACAACACGGCCAAAGATATCCAAGAGGATCCCAAGACGGCCCAAGGTGGGCCCAAAATGGCCCCAGCGCGGCCCCAACAGGGCTCCACGACAGTCCAAGAGGACCCCCAAATGGTCCCAAGGTTTTCACGATTGCCTTGGCTGCTCCCAAAACGGCTCCGAAAACGGACGCCAAAGGCCCCCAATACCGCATCTCCAGCAGGCGTCCAAGAGGCTTCAAGACTACCCACGGACGGCCTGAGGGCGGGGAAGCTCTTCAGTTATGCCCCCCGAGAAGCCAGAGTCATAGAATTGGAGGCCTTGCCAGCGCGACCCAGATAGCTTGTTTCTTGCCTTCGTTGCGCCTTGGCTTGGCCCCAGATGCGTGGCCAGGAAGGGAGGGGGCGGCCTTCGATACTCCGTGGTGTGGCCTTGGTGGCGTGTATTTCGGAGCCAGGCTCGAGCACACTTCTTCGTTACTCAACTCCTCCTCCTCCTCCTCCTCCTCCTCCTCCTCCATCCCCGTCCTCCTCCTCCTCCTCCTCCTCCTCCTCAGGTCTTCGGGTCGAATAAGCCCCAGGATCCCAAAAGTTAGTTGCCGCAGGTCCCTCCACCACCCCCGAAGTATCTCCAGAATCGACCCTGCATTCTTCATTGGCAACTTGCGATGCGAGTTCCTCGGGCGCGACCAGCGGGCCCCAAGATGGACCCTGGAGGCCCCGAGATGTCCCCAAACAGCCCGCACAGAGGCCCAGGAGGCACCCAGGCAGGCCTGAGCAGGGCCCAAAGAGGCTTCAAGATTGTTTCCAAGGGATTTGCGAAGGTTCCTCAAGATACTCCATAAGTCTTCCTCATTCGGCAAGGCCTCGGATCCACTTGGCTGCAGCCGTCCTTCGAGTCAAGTGCTCCCGTTTCGCGGCGGCGCCAGCTGCTCCTGCGACTCAGCCTGCCGTGCTCCCTCCTTCTCGTAGCCTTCCCTGCCTCCTCCTACGCCTCCTGCTCGGGGGGGCCCTCGTGGAGCCATCTTGGTCGCCTCTTCGATTCCTCGCGGCGCCTCCCTCCCTTCACCCCGTCGCCCGCCGCCCCAACATTTATTTTCACCTGGGGAAGAAAATCGGGGGCCAGAACCCGGGGACTCGAACCCCCGATCTGGTCCACCATCCCTCCAGGGCCTCCCGGGGTGCCTCCCCGGAGCCCCTGGAAATCCCAAGAGGGCATTAGAAACTCCGAGGGCGGCCCGAGAGGGCCCTGTGCCTCCCGGCGGTCAAGGCGCCCGCGCTGGCTTCGAGACTACCCAGGAGGTTTCAGGACGGCCCCGGGACAACTCCCAGAGCATCCCCACAAGAGCCTCGATGTGCCGAAATCGTACGTCCTCAGTTTGTTTCGAAACATGTTTTTGCAGTTCTCACCTGTTCCAACCGCCCAGGGCGGCCCGAGGGGCTTCCGAACTCATTGCAGACGCCGCGAGATGTTCCCGAGACGACCCAAGAGGGCCCCAAGATGGCATCAGTGGGCCGCCAAGACGACCCAAACGGGTCCCAAGACGGCCCAGGTGAGACCCGCGACATGGAAAGAAAAGGCGCCCTGGGGCCAAGAGAGCTCCCGAGACCGCCGAGAAGCCCCCAAGAGGTCCCAAGGGCCCCCCGAGAGGCCACAGGACGCCCCAAGAGGCTTGCAAAAGGTCACCCCCAACCCCCCGAAAAACATCCAAGAGGGAGGTATCCCAAGAGCCCCCCAGAGTATCCCAGGAGACCCTGGCATGCATCTGACACGCTTCTGACCACGACCCAAACACTGTGGCAGGATTGACCGACAACGCCGAAGTCCTGCCAAAGAGGGCCCCGACAGAGCCCCTGGACGGCCCAGCGAATCCCCCCAAATGACTTCCCATGTGCGTCAGACTGGCCGCGAGCATAGAGGCCCTCAGAGAGGCCCACAAGAGGCCCCCCAAGCGGTCCCAAGAGACCATCAGGAGGCTCACAACATTGAAAACGAAGACAAAGTTGACGTTTTGGGTGCCACCGCCTTTTCGCTTCCGATTCCAGAGAATGCGTCCTGGAACGCGCTGGGTTCCGTCTTCTTTCTCAGTCGGATCCACTCGGTGGAACGACAGTTCCAGTGGCCAGTCGGCGAAGGAGGCACGCAAGAAACCCCCAAACCCAAGACGCTACCTGAAGGCCCATAAACGTTTCTTGATGGGGCTTGTTCGGGAGGGTGCATCCTGGACGCGCTGAGTTCCGTTTTCTCCCGCGGCCGCCTTTTTTGCCTGCGTGCACGGCACTTGCCGTTTCCTGAGAGAGTGTGTTCTGGAAACTGCGTCCAGTAACGCGCTGGGCTCGCTCTTTTGCATTGGCCGCCCTTTTTCGTTTTGTGATTTCTCGCTTTTAGGGCAGCAGGGTGGCGTCCTGTTTTTTTTGTCGGGGGCTTCTCCGGCGAGTCCGGGGTCGCACCAGGCCCAAAACGCTCCCAGACGCAGCGCGTTCCAGAGGGCTTCTCCGGGAACGCGCTCGGTTACAGAAGGCCACACGCGGTCCCACAGCCTCCCAGAGGTTTTAAACATCAGGCATTATCTGAAGGCCCGCACGTTTCGTGACGCAGCGTGTTCCTGAGAATGAACTCAAGGCACAAGCCAAGCGACGTCGAAGGCAGAATTTGGTGGCATACGTACGAATACAACCTAATCGCGCGCGTGGTTCTATATTATACTTGTACATCGATAAAACAAAACGTTCGCAACACAGGTCTATGTATTTGTACATGCAAGCATATGGCTGTATATGTAGATGCGTGTGTACATGCTAACTAACATCACATTATGCGACGACATATCTGCAATCGTGCGCTGCATGACGTTGCAACGATGCTGTACTTGGCCATGGGGTCGTCAGGGGTCGGCCGTGCTTGTCGCCAAAACTCGCGACATCCCTAAGAAGCTTATGCAGGATTGATGGATGAACTTTTTCGCATTCTAGTTGCCGCTGCTTCCCATGCTGCTCGATCATGTTGGGGGCCCGCGGGCATGTGAAAGATGTGTGCCTTCTGGCTTCAGCTGCCTAGCTCCCGGGGATCGTCATGCCTGTCCCGAGCCGGGGCACTTGTGCTGTGCGCTGGTGCTTACAGGGCGCTGCGATGACGAGTTGATTGTTGGCGAAGAGCCCGCGCAAGGCATCATCGGATTCTGAATCTCGAGGCCGTGGGGTTGATGGTGACAGCCGCTCATATACAGATGGCCGGGCAGCAAGAGTAGCGTCGGCGGTGGCATCTTCACCTTCAAGCATGTAGGTGCATCGGTGCATCTATTTGGGTACTGGTTGTCCAGGGTAGACTGTCGTCACGTCCCTTAAGGCCGAAGTGATGGAACGAACCCTCGGCATCCGGAGATGGCAGATCGCCTCGGTCTGCCTCGAGTAAAGGAAGTGCAGCCAGGCCAGGGGGGCAGGGAAGGCCCCTCCTTCCCACCTCTCTGCTCCACCCTCCCTTCCCCTTCCTGTTTGCGCCGGCCAGCCGACGAGGCCCGAGACGAGGAAAGAGACAAGTAGAGAGGGGCGGGAGAGCGTCAGCGCACCAGCTGCTTGATGAATGGCACCAACCCGCCCACGGCGGGTGGCCCTCGTGACGCCTGGCTCCAACCACTCGTCCGCGCACTCTTGAGCCTGCGGGGACCGTCCGGTGGGCCGCGCCAGCGGACGGAGCCCACACCCGCATAGGCGGGTCCCATACTTCAGGACCGGAGAACCAATTCTGGGTCGGCGCCCCCACGGCTATCGAAATCCGTTGACGGCACTGCACCGCGCTGGAGAAGGGCCTTGGGGGAACCCAGGCATGATGCGGTGCACGGGCGCTGTTCTGGTGCAAGAGGCCAGGTCCCCGAAGGACCTAGATCGGCATACCCCAGCCGCGCGGGAGCACAGGTACAGTAGGTTCATGCGGCTTTGGCGCGCTCGCGACGCAGTCGAAGGCTTTAAGGCTTTCAAGGTTTAATTCTGCGACGTGGAAGCACCAAGGATCACGGTAACGCCACTGGACCCGACGGAATTCAACCTGGAACGATCGGGGCCGCGATCGATTCAAGGTTGAACGATCGACGCGGTGTCACAAAGTTTTGCGCGCGCCGACGCTGCACGAACCTACCGTACCGCGCTGGAGAAGGGCCTTCGGGGAGCCCACGCATGGTGCGGTGCATGGGCGTCGTTCTCGCACAACAGGCCAGGTCCCAGAAGGACCGAAAACGGCAGACCCCAATCGCCCGGGACCACAGGTACGGTAGGTTCACGCGGCGTTGGCTCGTTACGACGCAGTCGAAGGCTCTCACGGTTGAATTCTGCGACGCGGAAGCACCAAGGACCAAGGATGACGATAACGCCATTGGATCCGAACCTGGAACGGTCGGGGCCGCGATCGATTCAAGGTTGAACGATCGATTGCGAAGGCCTTCCGGCCAGTGCCGCCGACCCTGAAGGGGAACGACGACAGCAGCGGTTGCGGCGACGATGACGACGCTGACGTGGGTCAGAGTCCGCATGGCTGCTTCTGGGGGTCTCTTCCAAGCGCTCTCGGGGGCCTCTGGGGGAGAGTTTAGGGGCCTCTTGGGAGCCTCTTGGGGGCCTCTTGGGAGCCTATTGGAGGCCTCTCGGGGCTTCCAGGGGGCCTCTTGGGGACCTCTTGGGGGCCTCTTGGTTCCTCCTGGGAGCCTCTCGGGGCCGAGGGCTCGAAATGTCCGTTGTGGTCCCTCGTCTGGACACCCTCTTGGAACCGTCTTGGGGGCCTCTTGGGCCGTGTTGGAGGCGTCTTGAGCCGTCTTGGGGCCCTCTTGGGCTGTTTTGGGTCCCTCTTGGAGCCCTCTGGGGCCGTCTTGGGGCGATCTGGGGGGCCTCTCGAGCAGTCTTGGAGCGTCGGGAAACGGAAGAAGCGAGAACGCCGAAGTGCTTCAAAAATCACTGGGAAAACATAGTTTTTTTTCTCTCGGGTCCTCTTTGGGGGTGCTCCTCTCTTGGGGCGTCTTGCAGGGCTCTTGGGCCATCTGGAGGCCGTCAAGGCGTCTTGGACAGATCGTTCGGCGATTCGGGGCCCTCTTGGACCGTCTCGGGGGCCTCTTGGGGCACTTCTGGCCCGTCTCCGGACTTTCTTGAGGCTGGCCTCCGCGCCCTGGGGGTGGACCCCCCCCTGGGACCCCCCCCCCTTGGCGGGGAAGGGATGAAAGGGAAGGGCCTTCCCTTCGAATCATTGACGACGTTGTTGAATTTCGCTTTCGCTTTGGCATTTTGCTTTCGCTTTGGCTGGGGCGCTTGAGGAGGAGGAGGAGGAGGACCGAGGAACAGGGGAGGAGGGAGCGGAGACGGCGACGACGACGACGACGGCGACGGCGACGGCGACGACGACGACGACGAGTCAAACGGAACAGCGTCGACAGCCTCTCTGGGAAAGGAGGGGAAGCGGCGACGACGATGGGGACAGCCTCTCCCACACGCCGACAGGGTCGGCGGATTCAGTGTCAGCGCCGACGCGGCCGCCCATCAAGCGCCTAGGCAAGCTCAGGGCGATGACTGCCCCTGGCAGACAACGACGACGACGAGGAGGACGACGACGACGCGTGTGCCGACGCCGCGCGAACCTATACGTGGCTGGGGGGAGGGCGTGCCGCCCTCGGCTTAGCACCGGCCTTCCAGACCGGCCCGCGCGGACCCTTCGCGCAGTCCACGGACCTGCGAATGTCGGCCCCGCGGGGGGCCCCGACGCGCCGCCCCTGCGCTGAGGAGGGCGCTCTCTCCTCTTTGCGTACCCTGTCCCCGTTCTCCACCGACGACTTGTTTGCACCGCACCGCACTGGCGCCTCCCGATCCGACGCTGGAGCGAGGCTTCGAGTGACTCCCTACAACTGCGGTGCATGGGCGCCGATCTCGTGCGTTTCCCCCGCCTTGTCCCGCCTGCATTCTCCCTCCTCCCTCCCCTCCCTCCCTCCCCTCATCGTCAGCCACGCGCAGAGGGGGGTGGGGGGAGGGGGGAGGGCTTCTTAGAAGCACCCCTGCTTCTTAGAAGGCGCGGGCCTTATAAGCACCCCTGCTTCTTAGAAGGCGCGGGCCTTAATTGCAGATGTAAGGCAGGCGCCTTCTAAGAAGCAGTCTCCTTCTAAGAAGCCCTCCCCCCTCCCTCCATCCCCTTGTGCGCGCCGCCAACATCGGTCCTCCTCCCGCTCCCAGCTCGCGAGGTGCTGTGTGCAAGCACTGCCCGCTGGTTGGGGAGTGCCGCGGAACCCAGCAGGACGCCCACGAGGCGGCCGGGCGTGGGGGGGAGGGGAGCGGTGGGGGTGTCGCTCACATTCAAGCAGTGGCGAAGCGTCCTGGCTCGCCTATAGGCCTACCAAACAATGTTTCCACGAAGTGTTCTTAGAACAGTTCTGGCTGGGAATGGTTTGCGTTGACACATCGGATTAATGTTCTAAGAGCATTGTTTTTGCTCTTAGAACATTCCTGGGTTCTAAGAACATTTCGTGGTAGGACTAGGAATGCCGGGACGGTCGGTCCCTGCTCAACACATGTAGACCCGGGACAGGAGGAGGGGAAGGTCGAGATGGAGGGGGATCAGGTTCGAAAAGGGTTGTGGATAAGGATGTGGAAGTCGGGCAGGTGGGAATCGGAGGAGGCTTCATGGCAGATGGTGGAAGCCCAGCGCTGCAAGCATGCATGCACGCACGCCGATGCACAGTGCGTTAAGCGTCCTGGAAGCGACCAAGCCACACGATGGATGGATTGTTCTGGAGGTACAGGCGTCCATGTGGATTCTATCCTGAACCCTGCACCCAAGAAGCACTGTGAACACAACTTGTCCCAGAGCGCATCCGAAACGGTATAGAACTTTCCATGCTCAGAAAACCAAGCGTCTTGCCAAACAGTTGCAAGGAGAGGCCCTAGGGCGAACCACAGCAACAAAGCACACGCACAGCACATCAAAACAACACACACACACACGCACATTGCTCTGCAATGCTTGTCGGCAAAGTTGGGCCGCAGAGGCGTTGTCCGGGGCCCAACAAGCCGACCTCTGAGCAAGGATGGGACACCGTCCTGGAGCCTTGTTGGAGCTCCAAACAGGAATGGTGTGCAGCCAAGCCTCAACACGGGATGAAGACGAGGCGAAACGGGGCCCATCAGGAGGGGCCAGAATGGAGCGAGCATCGGTTTCGAGATTTCACACAGAGTATGATGTGGAGTTTGATGCCGTCGTGGAGCCGTCTTGGGCTCCAAAAGGGGAATGGTGTGCATTCGGGTGGCCGAGCGGGGGAGCCTCGTGGGGGGACAGAAAGGGGCGGAAGCTTTGACCGGAACTCTCGAAGTTAAGTCACATGTGTCCCGCAGCCTGGAGGGCGCATTCGATAGGCTCATGCAATTCCTCCGACACTCCAGAACTTCGAGATGTCAACCAAATTCGCGATGCGGGGCCAGGAGCTGCAGCGGCTCTGTCAGGCGCGGCTCGGGGGGCCGCGAAATTTTAGTGGCTGGATCGCCGCTTCCGCGCAGGGTGGCGTCTAGGGTGGTGCGGCCCTCGCAGCTGCTTAGCTACTTGCTGGAATGCTGTTTCCGACGGCTGGCCCCCAAACAGATGCACCGCCACCGCCTCTCTCGCCCCTCCGTCTTCCACGAACGGGGAGAGGAAGGAGAGGCTGGACGAGAGGGGGGGTGAATGTGGTGATGGTGGTGTATGGTATTGGTAGCCGCACACACGGCGAGGGCTCGAGGGCCCATCGTCGCCGCCACCGGGCGAATTGTTCTTCCGTTCGCGTGGGCAGCAGGAGTCGCCTGGTGCGACCAAGGGTGGTCCCCTGTTGGGACTTGAGGGTTCCTTGGGGCCGTCTGGGGTTTTCCTGGGGACCTGTCGGGGCCACTTTCGTCTGGTGCCCGTCGTGGAGGGTCCCAGGACCGTCTTGGGGAGTCTTGGGACCGTCCTGTGGCGGTCTTGGGCCGTCTTGGAGTCGTCTTCGGACCGCCTTGGGTACATTCTGGGCCGTATGGGGTCTCTGCAAATTGAGCCGAAAAGTTGCAAATGGCACGCACGCGCACGCACACGAACATCCAAGCGTTCTCCTTCATATGTGGCGCTTTGGGTTCTCCGCAGCGCTATGCTGGAGGCATCCTGGGGCCAACTTGGCGCCATCTAAATCGTCTGGGTCCCATCCTGGAGCCACATGTTAATGCAACTTGGGCCACTATGCAGCTACTTGAGCTACTCAGGGGGCTTGAAGGGGGGCCGTTCCCCATGTTGGAGGGGCCGTCAGGCCCTGGAGGTGCGCTGGCGAGCTCGCCCCCGCCCACCCACCCCGAGTGCGGCCACGCCAACGTGTGCAGAGTCAGATGCCCAGATTGGTCTGGCTCTATGGCCCTTCCAGTTATTGGCCATGGTGTTAACTCTCGCCTCCGTATGACTTCACTGCCATTCTTGGCAGGCGCCTCGATGCCCCCCTGGACGTTCTTTCGGCTGCGCCCCGACTGCGCACCGATTCTTCTTGCGGGGTCCAGGCAGCAGGGCCATACGGCGGCTCGTGACCCAGTTTGGGCATGTTCGGCGTGATGTTTGGGCACGGATGGGCCGGCCTGGCCATCCAGGTTCCCTTTCGATCCGATCGATGCGATTCGTCATCAACTCTGGCCGGTTCCTTCGATATTCGAAGATCTGATGTGACCCCCCGTGTGCATGGCGTTGCTATGCATCCTGGGGCAGCCGTTCAGATTCGATTTCGACTCCATGCTTATACAGCTCAATCCACCGCACATTCCGATTCGACCCAGTTTCTCTGCTCGATGCCGACTAATCTTGCCGTATTCTTGGTACACCCACCGCGCAGTTGAGGAAGCAGCGAGAAAGCTCGGGGTTTCATTTGGTGCATGCTCATCCGCAGACAGCGCCTACACACCACCACCATGCCCTAGCTTGAGCCACGACATGTATATATGCATGTAAATCTACATACAAATCGAACTAACAGGATGCATACGTACTTACGTACATACACACACACTCATACACACATACATGCATGCATGCATGCATGCATGCATGCATACCTACACAGCTACATACGCATTTACACATACACACATGCACATACACAAAAACATACACATGCACATACATATACACATACACATAACCACATACACATACATATACACATGCATGCATACAACCACATGCATGCATGCATGCATACATACATGCACACCTGCACATACACATACACATACACACATACACATACACACATACACATATACACATACACACATACACACATACACACTTACGCACGCACATAAACACCCAGGCATGCATACAGACTTACACACATGCACACATACACATACACATATATGTATACATATATATATATGTATACACACATTCACTTACACACATACACACATGCATACAGAGACACATACACACATACACACATACACACGTACACACATGCACACACACATACACACCTACATGCATGCATCCATACATACATACACACATTCACACATACCCACATACACAGTTACACACATACGCACATGCACACATACACACATTCATCTATATATATATAGATATATACACATGCATGCTCACATACATACATAACTATATGCATACATGCATGCATGCATAAATACACACATACATACACACATACACACATACAAACATGCCCCCACACACATACACACATACACACATACATACATACACACATCCACCCATATGCACATCTACGCATTCATACATACATGCATGCATGCATGTATGCATGCATCCATACATCCACATATACATATATATATATATATATATATATATATATATGTACATACATACACACACGCATATATTCATCCACACCTCCCAGCATTGGCTGTGAGGGCGTATGCACCACGCCAGGGCCCAGGATGATGGCTCTGGCCATGGCACGGTGGTGGTGTTCAGATGCTCTCTGAGCCAACAGAGATGCGGAAGACGACGACGGTGAGGGCGGCGTTGAGGAGGCGATGGGGCCGGCGGGGAAAAACGGCGGCCCGCCGCCCCTGGCTGGCGTGGAGGTGATGAGCTTCTTGCTCGACGCGCTGCATGAGGACCTCAACCGCACGAGGAGCTTGCCTGCAGTATCCGGTATTAATCGGGGGTTTGCCCGAGGGGCGCCCAGCCTTTCCCGCGCCGCTCCTGGAGTCCATGGGGCCCGCTGGGCCCTCGGCCTCGTGAGTGGTGGCCACCTCGGCCTCCCTGGAACGCCCGAGGCGCAGCCTTGTGCCAGGACTCCAGGCACCACCCGAGCCTGTTTGTGCGCGCGCTGGCTCATGCGCGGCGTCGCCGGGGTGGGGGCATTTGGAGTGAGATGAGCAGTTGCTCTGGCAGCTGTAGTAGCAGTGGGGAGAAGAAAGTGGGGCGTCGTCGGCGGCGGAGGAGCAATCGGGAGATTTGGGATGAAGTCAGGCATTTTGCCTCTTACTGTGTCCTGCTGGATCGATGCTGCACAGGGCTCCTCCTCAGGACCAAGCCGCCGTACATCGAGCGGAAGGAAGTCGCAGAGGAGGACTGGCCCGCGCCATGTTGCCTGCGCCTGGCGATGGCGGGATGGGGGAAGATCCGCGGACTTGCCTTTTCGGCCGTTGCGCCTAATCTTCAGAGGATTGAGAACCACATGCTAACACTGGTTAGTCCTGGCTGGGTACTTCTCTTGGGCAAGTGTGGTGGTCTACAGTACAATCTGGGGCCCAGAATGTGCGGGTCAGGACGAGTGTCAGGGCAAGGATACTGCCTTTTCCTCAACTGGCGCGCAAAGGCCGCCACCTAGGCCCCTCACCCCTTCAGGGTAATTGTAACGATGCTACGTATGGGGGTGTGGGGGGAGGTCCTTGGACTACTCCCACACATGCTGGTGCTCGCGCGCGTACTGTGACGATCGCAGCGCACACCCGCCCCGACGTGCCCCGCCTCGCCCAAGCATTGCCGCTGCCCGGGGCCCACACCCACCCCCTGGGCAACAGCCCCCAGTCCCGGAGGAACACCCGCTCCCTGGGCAACAGCCCCCGGAGGAGTTCAGAACATCCGAAGCCAGTCTCCCAGGGGTGGCCGGGCAAGGAGGAGGAGTGCCGGAGAGGGATGGCAGCGCTGTGTGGAGGCGCCCGGCGCGCGCGCCTCTTTCTGTGCTGTCGTGTGGCCGGCGGGGCGTGTCGGCGCGTCGTCGCGGCGGGGCCGGGCTCCGAGGCTCGGTGCCGTCCGGGCTGCCGCTCGGCGGCGGGCTGCCAGGCCAGCTGCTCCAGAGCCGGCTCGCTCCTCGGAGCGCGCCAGGCTCCGCGCCAGTATCGCTTGGCTGCTCCCGATTGACCCCATCTCCATCCCCATCCCGAGCCCCACCATCTCACCACCCGAGTTTGGGAATAGCTTCTACCCCTCGAAGCCCGAATGGGGACAGCCTATGTCCCCATCTAGGGGTGCAAATCGGCCAGGGGCCCCGGCCATGCCCGTGGGGATACTGATCGGCTAAATGATGCTCAGGCCTGCTCACTCATCGAAGGAGCGTGCCAGGCCCTGCGTGAGCAGGAGGAGGGGACAACTCTAGGCCTTCCAGATGGGGTCCGAGTAGATGGGGCCTGGATGATCGCGCCGCATCGCCGATAAGTCGTCGATGCGTCTCGATGTGGAGCCAGATTTTCTACACGCCGATGTATCCGTGATGCTTCGGCGACGCTGCGCGATCCTGCGACCTCACTTGCTTCGACACCATCTGGGAGGCCTCTGATGATTGGAGGCAGTGACAGTGCAGCCTCGATGCCGCGAGGATGTGGCGCGCAAGGGCGAGGAGCGCTTCGCCGCCGAGGCACGGCGGCAGTTGCCACGGGGGGAGGGGCGGGAGCAGGGAAGGAAGAAGAAGAAGAAGACACACGTGACATTCGACAGCGGCAGTAACACTGATGTTGCTATTGATAAGATGGAGAAGCATGATAGGAATAAGAAGGTGTTCAACCTTGCTGATAGTGGCAGGGTGACAGGAAGACCGCGAAGGAGAGTAATCATGAGCGTAGCATGTCCTTCATATTGTAATTCTTCCTTGCAAGGTATAAGCATTTTCCAAGGAGCCCTGGGATCTCTCCCGCGGTCCGCCCCTACCTGCGCTCCCCTGGCCTCTCCAATCACCCCGCCTCGCCGCCCTCCGGGACAGGCCTGGCGCGACCACCTCGTGCGCCACCGCTCCGTGCTTGTGGACCTTTGCCAAGGCAGCGCGCGCCTTTGCCGCGCCCCCGGCTGGGGCGAGCTTCCCTGAACCATCTGGCTTTTTTTTCCTGGCGTCCTCGTGTGGGGTAGTGCACGCAGCAATCGCAGCAGGCCTCGAGAGCAATGCGCCAGGACATCTCACGACGCCCACCCATCAAAAGAGGCGATCGGCCCCCCTCCTTTGGATTCTCGGTCCTCATCCTGCGCAGCTGCGGCGAAGAGTTGCGTCTTGTCACCAGCCATGATGACAACGGTGGTGACGATCCGTCGCTGGCGGGCTGGCCGTCCTCGGGAGGGCGGCAGAGAGGACGGGGGGAACATGTGCATGGATGAGACATGGTGGAATGAATGGGTTTCATGTCTTGGATGGCGGTTGATCGTGCGTGCTGTGCTTCGTTGCGGACAGGAGTAGGCATTCCGTGGTGCAGGGTAGATGTCTGGATTATTTGGCCGTTCTGATTGTTGCGGCTACTTGGTCCAGGGGTTTGCAATCCATTTCTGTTGCGAGACTTCTGGCTCCAGGGGCCCACAGGCAAGTCGGCTTCTGCTGTTATTGTCCTTACTAGCTTCCCGGGTGTCCCAGTCTGTTACTGTGTCTAGTAGGCCTGGCAGACCCCGTCTGCCTCCATCCTCGTTTGCCTCCCCGTGTGCCGCCTCCTTATCCTGGTCCTCCTCGTTCAGGGCGGGCGCTGGCCGCTTGCCCCACACTGTCCACTGCCCCCTTTCACCTCCAACAGGGCTGGCATGGCGAGGCATGGATATAGTGGGGGATGGAGGAGGCAGACAGGAAGACATCCTCATGGATGTATGCATGTGGTATGCATGTGTGTATCTGTATGCATGTATGCATTCAATGTCCGTAAGGGCTTCGCCCTCCTGCCGCCGGTTCCTTCTCTATCATACTAGGATATTTCAGAGTCGCGTTCGTGCGTCTCGGCGCTGCCTTGGCGCATCTGGGAACATCATGCGGGGGCGGGTCTGGAATCATCAGCGCATATTGGGACGTCGGTGTTATCCTAGTGGCCTTGGGCCCATTCCGCCACCGTGCCTGGGTTGTGGGTCTGAGGCCTCTTGTATACGCGTTGGGGTGTCGTGGAGGGCCTCTCGGGGGCCTCTTGGGGGCTTTTGGGCCTCTCGGAGACCTCTTTGGCGCGTCTTGGGCGCCTCTTGGGGCCTCTTGGGGCCTCCTGGGGGCTTCTCGGGGCTTCTCGTAGCGCTTCTTGGGCCATCTTGGAGCTCTCTCGGGCCGTCTTGGGGTCCGCTTGGAGGCGTCTTGGGCTGTCTTGGGGCGGTCTTGGGAGCTTCTTGAGTCATCTTGGAGCGTCGGAAAACCGAAACTGCGAGAGCCCCAAGCTCCTTCAAAAACCATGTAATATCGACGATGTTGGCCTCTTGGGGCTCTCTCAGGAGGCCTTTTGGAGCGCTCTTGGGGCCTCTTGGGCCCCCTTGGGCCGTCTTGGAACCATCTTCGGGCGCCTTGGCCTCGGGAAACACGAATATGGTGTAATTTGCGAGGATTTATGTCCACGTGGACGCGAACTCTGGAATACTGTTCAAAGGTTTGTTGCCTCGGGGACGCAAGCCTTGAGCAATTTGCGAGGGTTTGTGGCCTCGGGGACGCGAGCATGGTATACTTCCAGAAGTGTTTCTGGCTTCGGGGACGCAACTACTGAGCAAGTTTCGAGGGTTTCTGGCCTCGGGGACGCGAACACTGTAACGTACGACGGATTCTGGCTTCGGGGACGCGACTATAGAGTAGCTTCCAAGGATTGGTTGCCTCGGGGACGCAACACTTGAGTCATTTACGAGGGTTTGTTGTTTCGGGGGCGCAAACATAGTATACGCTGCGAGGGTGAATGGCCTCGGAGACGCGAACATGGTGTAATTTACGAAGGTGTGTCGCTTCGGGGATGCACAACTTATAAAAATTGTGACGGTTACTGGCCTCGGCGGCGCGAATATTGTTTAATTTGTTAGGGATCGTGGTCTCGGGGTGTAATATATTAGGATCGTGACCCCAGAGGGGCGAATGTAGTATAATTTATGTGAGTTCGTGGCCTCGGGGGTGCGAATTCGGTGTATTTTACTGGGGATCGTGTCTTCGGGGACGCGGACGTGATACAATTTACGAGGGATCGTGGCCTCGGGAACGCGAATACCATGTCATCTGCGAGGGATTATTGCGTCGGGAGTGAGAATCTCGTGCATTTTGATTTGTCCCATGGCCCCGCAGGAATTCAGACAACGTGATTCGAGGAGGGTAACCTGATCCTTTTCGCCCCCCCCCTCTCGCGCGGACTTCATCAATTTACAGTAGCAAGCAGATAGCAGGACTGTAACAGTGGATACCGGAAACTGCAACCGGTGCAGGTTGCAACCCCAATCCTCGCAGCCTGATGGCCCCGCAAGGAGGCCGGCAGATATGTATACACACTCAGTGGCCTTCTGTCCATTCCGCTACCGTCCTTAGGTCGTAGGCCAGCGGCCTCTTGCTTGCTTGCGGGGATCTCTGCTGAGGTCTTTCGGGAGCCTCTTGGAGGTGGTTTTGTGATGTCTTTTGGGCCTCTTGGGGCCTGACTTGGGGTGACCTCCTGGAGCTTCTGGGGAGCTTCTGGGGGCCTGCTGGCGGTCTCGGGTGTCGTCTTGAGTCGGAGCGCTCGACCTGTCGGTTCGTGTGCCACCTTGGGGCTTCATTTTGTGCCCTCATGGAGCCCCCTCAGGCCGTCTTGGGGGCTTGGGCCGTCCCAGGGCCTTCTTTTGCCGTCTGGGGGCCATGTTGGGGACAGTCTTGGAGGGTCAAAAGCTTGACACGACGAGACAGCTAAAATCCGTCAAACAACAGCTATAAGGGCAATCTGTGATGTTGGCTTCTCAGGCCCTCCTGGCGGGCCTCTTGGAGCCCTCTTCGGGCGCCTTAGGGGCCTCCTGAGCCGCCTGGGGACCATCTTGGGCGTCCTGGATGATCATCGGGCGACTCGGGGTGCTATTGGATCATCTCGGGGTCCTCTTTGGGCTTTCCTGAGGCGTCTTGGGGTCCGCTTGGCTCAGACACATCACGCAGGACGTCCAAGAAGCGCCCGAAAGTGCCCGAGAGCGGAGGAGAGCGCCCAGGAGTGTCTCAATTCGCGGCTGCGGCCCTCTGAATAGTTTTCAGGATTGAGAGCGCAGGAGTCTAAAGGACCTGAGGGCACTCCACTCAGTGCCTCGCGGCACGGTGGCGTGTACACACATAGTCGTACATACATATAGTTATAAGTATATGCAGACATACATGTATATTTACACATACATATTACACATATATGTACACATTTGTGCATACGTGTATACGTATATATATATATATGTATATGTGTAATAGACATGCCTCGTTTATCTATATATACGGACATATGTGTGGAGAGATGTAGAACTGGATATGAACCCACACACGTATTATATATGTTACATAAACATGTCTATGTGGAGAGAGAGACAATTACTTACTCGCACGCGATTCTGTGTAACATGCACATGTCATATACGCACATGCCGGTGAGGCGTAGGTCAACCTGTATGCACATACACGTAGGTTGCGAGAGAGCGAGCGAGAGAGAGAGAGAGAGCGAGAGAGAGAGAGAGAGAGAGCGATAGAGAGAGAGAGAGAGAACGAGAGAGGGATCATGCGATATATATCTCTCTCTATATATATTCATATAGAGAGAGACATGTCATACAACGAGGCGAACACAAGGGAGAAAGGGGAACACACGGGAGAGAGAAGGCTTTGGGACATGTGCGATGACATCTGAACTGAAGGGGTACAATCCACGATACAGGGAGACGGGTGACGGCCACCCCCGCGCGCAGGGCAGCTTCGCTCGCAGCTGCGCTGCACCGAGTGCGGCTTGACCTCGGTCGAACCGCCCTCCCCTGCGCCTGCTGGAAGGACGGGCGTCCAAGGTGAAATCCGGCGATGGGGAGGGAGAGAGCAGCCAGACTTACCCGCAGGTGCGTGACGAGAACCGCGCTTCTCGCCTCGCGATCCGGACTGGGGAGATGCCCCCCTCTCCGTGTGGGGCCCGCGCCAGGGAGCGAACATCTCCGCGCGTCACGCATCGCGGAGCGCCAAGCGCTAAGTTGGCCGACCTTGGAGAGAACCAGACTGCGACCTGACTGCCGCAGGCGTCGCTGGGCCGAAGGAACCCACGACAGCACCGTGGCACGGGGGCCGCTGCACGGGATCTCCAAGGGGTCCTCTTTTTGAACAGAGGTGGGCATCACCCACCAAATCACCCCAACCCAATGCGAAGGTTTCAATTTGCCCCCTATTCCCAGTGGGGGAGGCGTCGGGGAACATTGAAAGACACATGTGGAACCCGTACCCCCCCTCAACCCGAAATTTGGGTCTTCGGGTTGGGTTGGGGTGGTCTGGTAGGTAGCCATCTGGGACGAGTGATCCGTAGCCAGGTCGCAGCGCGAGGCGGGTCGGTGGTCGGGGCTGTGCGCAGCGGAGGGGGGGCACACTCGAAGACCTCGCCGCCTCGACGGGGCCCCGCGGGGGTAGCGGGCTGGCGCACGTGGTGAGGAGCGACCTGTGACCGTTCGCGACCACCCGGGTGGCATTGCCTGTTCGAGGGCGCGCATGCAAAGCAGAGCTCCGTGGGCGAGGGGCGGCTAAGGGCGGGTGTTCAGACATGACCTTTCCCGCCTGTTGGGAAGGCCTTGCGGGTAGCACGCCGCAACAGCAGATCAGAATGAGGAGTGTGCCTCCCGGAGCGGGGGGGTCCAGGAGGTGAGGGTGGTGGTGGTATCCTTTCCTACCCCTTCACATCGTGTTCCTTGTATCATTTGTCTCCCATCAGAGGGGCGAGGGAGATCTGTTAGGAGAGAGAAATAGAGAGAGAGAGAGAGAGAGAGAGAGGGAAAGAGACAGAGAGAGAGAGAGTGACAGAAAGAGAGAGAGAGAGAGAGAGAACGATCTGTGAGGAAGGGGTGGGCCGGGGTGACATGCCGTGCTGCGCCCCCAAGGGGCAACGCGGCAGCTCGCCCCCGTCCGCCCCCGCACCCTCACCTGCCACCACGACCACGACCGCGACCACCACGACCACGACCACGACCACCACTGCCACCACCACCATTGCCATCAATGTCACCCCCACGACGACCACGACCACTACCACTACCACGACTACGACCACCACGACCACGATGACCACGACGACCACGACGACCACGACGACCGCGACCACGTCCACGACGGCCACGACCACGACCACGACCACGACCACGACCACGACCACCACCATGACAACCACCTGTCCCCCCCACCACGACCACGACCAAGAGACTGCCGCGCCTCGCCAGTCGGCGTCGACTGCCCCTCCCCTTCTCCCTCTGCCTGGCCCCGCCACTGCCTGCAGTTAGCCCTCCTCCTTCGCCGTCGTCGTCGTCGTCGTCGTCGTCGTCGTCGTCGTCGTCGTCGTCCCTTCTTCCGCGTGCCACAGCGAGGGTCCCGTATCCTGCCCGAGGGGGCCCGATGAGGCGTGGTGTGAGCTCCAGCACCGCCAGCGCGCTGTCCCGCCCCGGGCCACGTTGCCGTCGTGAACGAATATGTGGACCCTCCCCCTGCCCGTTCCCCCAACGAGAGGGATATATATATATATAGAGAGAGAGAGAGAGAGAGAGAGAGAGAGAGAGATCAGAGAGAGGGGAGAGAGAGGGGTAGAGAGATGAGGAGGAGAGAGCTAGGCGAGGGGAGGGATGAGGGGCGTGAGAGGAGTGGAATGGGGGAGATGCAGAAGTGTGGGTAGACTGACGAGAAGAGGGGGCCTGGTACATCTGGGTGACCCTGAAGGGGGGCGTCAAACGGGAAGGCGCAGAGAGAGAGAGAGAGAGAGAAGGATGACGTGGTGGACTCCGATGAAGACGATGACGAGACCGATAGTTAGGCCTGCGGACGAGGGAGAACGTGAAGACCGGAAGGGAGAAGCAAGGCAGGACGAGGGAAGGGAAGAGGAGCAGCAGCAGCGGTGAGTGTGGGAGAGTAGGAGAGCAGGGCCTGGAGGTTGTGAGGGAATAGGATGCACAAACATATATTTAATAACGATCGAACATCTGATCCTTGGTGTGTGTGTGTGTGTATGATCTGCTGGGGCGCCGATGGATACCAGGTCACCTTCGACCCCTTCCTGTTCCTCTCCCTGCCGCTGCCCCCTGGGCTGACGCGCCTCCGCTGGAGGAGGATGAGGAGGAGGAGGTGGAAAAACAGGTGGATGGGGGGAGGAAGGGAATGAATCTCATGGGTAGTCTGGAGGAGGAGGAGGAGGGGGAGGAGGAGGAGGAGGAGGAGGAGGAGGAGGAGCAGGGAGGAGGAGCAGGAGGACGAGGAGGAGGAAGTCGAGGAGCAGGAGGAGGAGGCAAAGAGAAGGAGGATGATAAGGAGGATGAGGAGGAGGAGGAGGTGGAATATGAAGGATAGTAATACTGTTATATACTTTTTCCATCAAGGCCGTTATTTTTGATGCCCCCTTGTGCTGGGGGAGAGGATTTCGCCGCCACCTCGGGGAGCGACTTCGCGAGCTTGCTCACGAGCGCAGCCCGCAATCTGGTTTTCGTGAGTCGCACCATATTGAATTGAGGTGCAGCTTGCACGAGGGTTCGGCGGCGAGCCAGGGGGGAAGTTTGAAAGGGTGGGCCTTTTCAGAAGGCTCGGAAGGCCTCCGGCAGGCTTTTGAGATGTTCTCTAAGCCGTCCTCGACGGCGCAGAACAAATTCTCAGAAGGCCGGAGGGCTTCTGAGAAGCCCCGCCGCCTTTGAGAAGGCCCGCCCTTTCTCAGTTCCCCTCCGGGCGCGCCGCCGCTAAAAACAACCTTGTCTTTGACAGGGGTACGCTTCTGTTCTTCTGGCCCGTGCTCTTCACCTTGGAGTTGTCTTCGTTTGGGGTATTATCATGGAGCCTCGGGCCTTCGGCGCAGGGGCTCATGCTGTTGGCCCGCGTTTTTGTGACCATGGAGACTTGTTTTTGTAGGGTCCGGCGATGACCCGGGTTATCGGGCTCGCCCCCCCTGCCCGTACACAGGCATTGCCTTGTGCACAGGCAGCGAGGCGATTTGGTGCGTGCATTTGCTATTGTTGCAGCAAGATCTGTTGTACGCAGGCGTTGTGGCGCACGCAAGCATAAGTGCACGCAGGTCGCGCGGTGCACGCCGACATCGTGATGCAACCAGGCAGTATGGTGAAGACAGGCTTTGTGGTATGCACCGATATTGGTGCAACATCAGTTATCATGCACGCAGGCATCCCAGGCATGGTGGTGTACAGAAGCACTGTGGTGCACTGTCGTTGCAGTGTACCACACCTTGTGGTGTACACAGGCGCTGCGGTGTACACATCCGCTGCTGTGCGCACGCTCGCTATGGCGTACACAGGCGTTGTGGGCCCAAAAGACGGGACCGTTCCCTGCATTTGATTTGATACGCATAGATTCCCCACGTTTTTCTGGAGTTCGGTCCTGCTGGGTCCCCTGGAAGTGTACGCAGTTTTGTGGTGTACACGAGCACTTTTGTTGCGCTAGAGCTGTGGTACGAGTATGGTGCTGAAGCAGCAACCGTGGTGCACATAGGCGTCGTCGTGTTCACATGTGGTGTGTGTGTGTGTGTGTGTGTGGTTCATAGGCGCTGCGCTTCACACGGGTGTTGTGGTGTACGCAGGCATTGTTGTGCAGACAGGCGCTACGGTGTACACAAGCAGCTGTGGTGTGCAAAGGCGTCGTGGCGCACGCGAGACAGGCGCTGTGGTGTACACAGACATGGTTGACCAAAAACGGGGTGACCAGACCCCGGGGCAGAAAAATCAGTAATAACACATAACTTTCATCTTGAAATTGATCTGTTCTGGCCCCCGGGGATTTTCCTCCAGATTTGGGCCTCGACGGGACCTTAGTAGAGGTGCACGGAAGCGCTGTGGCGCAAATGTTTGCCATGCGTTGTGGTGCACGCGGCTCCTGTGGTGTGTGCAAGCACCGCAGTGTGCACAGGCGCTATGGTGCACATGGGTGTTGTCGTGTACGCAGGCATTGTGGTGTACACCAGCACTGTTGTCTAGACAGGCGCTGCGGTGTACACAAGCAGCTGTGGTGTACAAAGGCGTCGTGGCGCACGCTAGACAGATGCTGTGGTGTACACACACACATGGTCCGCCAAAAACGGGGGGACCGTACCCCAGGAGAGAAAAATCAATAATCACAAATTACTTACATATGAAAGTTGATATGTTCGGGCCCCCGGGGATTTTCCAGATTGTGAAGGCCTGACGGCCGGTGCCGCCGACCCTGAAAGACATCGACGACGACCAGGAGGGGGAGGACGAGGGAAAGGAGGAGGAGGAGCTCGGAGGAGGAGGAGGAGAGGAGGAGGAGGAGGAGGAGGCGGAGGAGGAGGAGGAGGAGGAGGAAAAAGACTCCCCCCTGGGACCCCCCCATGGGGAGGACCGGAGGAGGACTGGCGTGGGAGAGGGGGGGAGGACCCCCAGGGACGGATGCGTATCTGACTCCCCTCCCCCCCCTGGGACTCCTCCCAACCTGGGGAGGATGAGGCTCGAGAATCGAGGAGGGTGGAGAAAGGAGGGTCGAGGGTCGAGGAGAGAAGAAAGGAGGAGGAGGAGGAGAAGGAGGAGGAGGAGGAGGAGGAGGAGGAGGAGGAGGAGGAGGAGGAGGAGGAGGAGGGTCGAGGGTCGAGGGTCCAGGAGAGAAGGAAGGAGGAGGAGCGAGGATCGAGGAGCGCAGGCCGAGGAGAGCAGCAGGGGGAGAGGAGGACCGGCGCGCCGGAGAATGACCGGCGTGGGCGTGGGAGAGGAGGACCCCCAGAGGCGATGCGAATCTGACCCCCACCCCTCCCCGGGACCCCCCCCGCTGGGGAAGGGACAGAGGGAAGGGGCTTCCCTCTGACGTAATGAGGACGTGGATGGAATTCCCTCAAGCTGCGAACCCGTTCCCCGAGCGAGGAAGGGCTCTCTCTCTCTCTCTCTCTCTCCCCCGACGGGAGAGGAGGATGGGAAGGAGGGAACGAAAGAAGGCTCCACGTCGACGGGACCGGACAGACACCCCACACACGCCGACAGGGTCGGCGGATTTCGGGCCCCGGCGGGACCTTGGAGGTGCGCGGAAGCGCTGTGGCGCAAATGTTCGCCATACGCTGTGGTGCACGTTGCTCCTGTGGTGTGCACGCACAGGCATCGGGGCGTACACAGGCGCTGTGGTGCACGCAGAAGCCTCTGCTGCAGCAGCACCTGTGGTGTGCAAGACCGTTGTGGCGCATGCATGTTTTGTAGTGCTCACAGGCGGTTTGGCGCACTCGTGTTCTATAGATTCTGTACACAGGACTTCGCGGCTACGCTTAGCAATCACATCCCGCGTATTCCAATGCGAGCTGTCCAGACATCCCTAGGTATTCTCAGACGGCGCCCGCATCGTCGCAGCACCAATAGTAGCATCGCGGCAGCATCGTTAGCAGCTGTAGGGGCCGCAGCACTGGCGCGCGCGGGCATATGCAGGGCTGCCCACAGCGCGAAGGTTAGGTTATCGGCCGGCCCCCTCCCCACCAGGATACCCCGGGTTATCGCCGATTCAAAAAACATGATCGACCCACGAACCCGGAAAGGAATATAGAAATGTAACGCATGGCAGCGTTTTCAAAGACACCTGATTGGATGACGGGCAAATGCAATGTTGAGTGCATCGATCTTGATGTACCCTGCCGAGGACTGTGTTGTGCTGCACCGTGCTGAATTGCGATGTGCCATGCCGCGATTGTGCTCTATAGCGTCCTGGATCGAGTCCTCCTTTGCATCTGAGTCCTGCCCCAACTGATCTGGATCTTCAGCTCGAGCTGCCTGAACACATAGTAGCTGCCCCAGAGCTAATTGACAGGGGGACATGCCAGGAGGACGCGCCGCGGAACGTCCCAAGGGACGCGCCAGGCGACGTGCCAGGGGACGTGCCATGGGGTCGCACCGCGGGACGTGCCAAGGGGACGCGCTACGGAACGCGCCAATGGATGCGCCACGGGATGCGCCAGGGGACGCGCCACGCGACGTGCCAGGGGGACTCGCCAAGGGACGCCCCACGGAACGTGCCAAGGAACGTGTCAGGTTGCAATGCTGAGTGTGTCGATCTTGGTGTACCGTGCCGAAGTCTGTGCTGTGCTGCGCCGTGCTGAATGGCGATGTGCCATGCCGCGATTGTGCTCTATATATAGCGTTGTGGATCGAGTCTTCCTTTTGCATCCGAGTCCTGACCGAACTGATCTGGATCTTCAGCTCGAGCTGCCTGAACACATAGTAGCTGCCCCAGAGCTAATTGACAGGGGGACATGCCAGGAGGACGCGCCGCGGAACGTCTCAAGGGACGCGCCAAGCGACGTGCCAGGGGACGTGCCATGGGGTCGCACCGCGGGACGTGCCAAGGGGACGCGCTACGGAACGTGCTGGGGACGTGCGATTCGCTCGAGACATCCTGTCAACATCTTCATGCTAGACATCCGCCAGAGTGACCTGGACACACGAAAACAAGTGTTTCGCCCAACACATCCTCAACGCATTCTCATGCTAGACATCCGCCTGGGCGAAATGGGTGACCTGGGCACGTGAAAACAAGCGTTTCGCTCGAGACGCTTGCAACACCTCATTCTAGACATCCGCCTGGGCGACCTGTACACGCGAAAGCAAACGTCTCGCTCGAGGCATCCTCAATACATCTTCATGTTAGACATCAGCCTGGGCGACCTGGACAAGTGAAAACAAGCGTATCTCTCGAGACATTCTCAACACACCCTCATGCTAGGCATCCGCCTGGGCAACCTGGACACGTGCAAACAAGTATCTCGATCGAGACTTCCTCAACACATCCTCATGCTAGATATCCGCCTGGGCGACGAGGACGCGTGAAACCCAACGTCTCGCTCGAGACATCCTCAACATATCCTGGCGCTAGACGTCTGCCTGGGCAACCTGGAGGCGTGAAATCAAGCGTCTCGCTCGAGACATCCTCAAGACCCGGGCACGTGAAAACAAGCATTTCACTTGAGAGATCCTCTGAATTCTGGTCACCAGGAGAGGACAATCTATAACACAAAACAAGCGTTTCGCTTGAGACATCCTCAGCAAATTCAGAAGAACAAGCGTTTCGCTAGGGACATCCTCACATTTTAATTCGCCGGCCCACCCCGACCTCCATATTTATCGCAAAAGAAATTCGCCCGCCCACCTCAAGTCGAACCCGGAGGTAAACCAACTAAAAGAGAACCTTGGGCTTATGCCTTTTCCGGAAAAAAGGTCTCATGTTTCGACAGTGCCCATTGGTCTTTGAAAGTAGGTATCTCGGGATTCCCATCTTCCAATCTACTTTAGCCGCCTTCCTACTTCAAGAGTCGAGTGGTTTTCTCTCTTCCCTCCTCTTCGGGAGGCGGGCGGAAAGCCAATCTACTTCCAACGACTTCCTACTTCATGATTCTACCTAGTTACTTCTTCCGACCGATGGATAATCGCGTCGCTTGCTCCGCCGTCCCACCCAGCGTGGCTGGCGTGAATAAGAGACCTATTTTAGAGGCTTCTCGGAGTCTGCCAGGAGGCCTCTTGCAGGCATTTTTGGAGGTTCCTGAGGCCTCTTGTAGCCTGTTTGGGCCTCGGTGGGCCTCTTTGGAGGGTCTTTTGGGCCGTAGGGGGCCTCTTGGGTCTATCTTTTCGGGCAGGCGGCCAATTGTAGGCCTCTTGAGTCCTCGTGGGGGCCTCTTGGGGGCCTCTTGAGCCTTCTAAGGGGGGCCTCCTGGGCCGTCTTGGGGCCCTCTTGGGCAGTCTGGGGGCCTTCTTGGGCGCCTCTGGGGCTGTCTTGGGGCGATCTTGGAGGCCTCTTGGGCAGTCTCAGGCGGTCGGAAGCACGAAGTGACAAAAACGCCGTCGACCCAATCCGTAGAACATCTATGATTTTTGCCTCTCGGGTCCCTCGTGGACTCTTCTTGGAGCGCTCTTGGGACGTCTTGGGCACCTCTAGGACCAGCTGGAGTCCACTTGGGGCCGTCTTGAGGTCGTCTTGAGCCGTCTTCGAGCGCTCTAGGCCCGAGGTCGTGGAGCCTGCCAGCCCTCCAGGGCCAGCTTGGAACACTCCTGGGCGGCGCCGGGGGCGAAAACCATGTCTGAACCGAGTCGGGTGGGAGTCGGGTAGGAGTGTCGTGGGGCACTTTTCCTCTGAGGCCCCCTGGGGGTCGTCCCGCGCGCGCGAACCAGTAACACCGATATTCTGGACGGCTCACCGCACTCTTTGGCCCGTTGGGCCGGCGAGGTCCCCCCAAGCAGTTTTTGCCAGGTGCAAGGGATTCTCGCTCGTGTCCGGAGGAGATCGGAAGGGTCTGCTTGGGTCTCGCCTGGTGATCACCCGTGGGCGCCTCGTGGGCGACCTGCGCGTGGTGGATCGGCCAGGGTTCCGCTTGGTTGGCGCCCGTGGGCGCTTCCAGGACGCCCTGCACCACGTTGCTTGCTTCATATAGATATATTTTCCTTCCTAAAAAGAGAATGGACTCTACCCCCCCTGGCGTTATCCGTCCCCCTGTCGGGTATGTCAATCATATACGATTCTGACCACATGTCCATCCTGAATATGAATTTGCATTATCCCAGGGGAACTGGGATCGGTTCCCATGATATTCCCTTGTAAACAACGAGAATCCCTTGCAAATAATTGGACGAAGTGTACACGCGCGCGTCGTCGCGCGCGCATGCCGAAATCCTTCAAAGACCTTCTGTGTCGGAAGGATTTCGCAATAGAGTTTCCAAACAACATACAACAACACAGGTTTTCGCAACACCGATCTGCTAAAACAGTTTACGCGCGAGCTCTCGCGAAATCTTAAGAAATCCATAGGTTTTAAAGATTTTCACAAAATGCTACCAAACGGGCTTCGCGCGCGCATGTCGAAATCTGTCGAACGCCCTTGCGCATGTGCCGTCGCGAGAATCTTCTGCAACAAATGGGACGAAGTGCAGACGCGCGCGTCGTCGCGCGCGTATGCCGAAATCCTTCAAAACCCATCGGTTTCGGAAGGATTTCAAAATCGTGTGTTCAACAACCTACAAAAACACGAGGTTTCGCAACACGGATTTTCAACAAAAGCGTGCGCGCGCGCTCTTGCGTCGTCGTCGTCGCCGCCGTCCTCCCTCCTCCCTCGTCGTCGTCGTCGCCGTCGTCGTCCTCTGTCTTTCCTCGTCGTTGTCGTCGTCGTCGTCGTCGTCGTCGTCGTCGTCCTGTTTTGCGTCGTGGTCGTTTCCGTCGTCGTTGTCGCCGTGGTCGTCCTTCCTCCTCCTCCCTCGTCGTCGTCGTCGTCGTCCGTCGTCGGCGTCTCGTCGTCGTCCTTCCTATTTCGTCGTCGTCGTCGTCTTCCTCCTCCCTCGTCGTTGTCGTCGTCGGCGTCGCCATCCTCTTCTTCGTCGTTTGCGTCGTCGCCGTCCTCCCTCCTCCGTCGTCGTTGTCGTCGTTGTCGCCGTCGTCGTCCTCCCTCCTCCCTCGTCGTCGTCGTCGTCTTCGTTGGCGACGTCGTCGTCGTCGTCGTCGTCGTCGTCGTCGTCGGCGTCGGCGTCGTCGTCATCTTCGTCGTCGTCGACGTCGGCGTCGCCGTCGTCGCCGCCGTCGTCGTCGTCGTCGTCGTCTGCGTCGTCGACGTCGTCGTCGTCGTCGTCGTCGTCGTCGTCGTCGACGTCGTCGACGTCGTCATCGTCGTCGTCGTCGGCGTCGGCGTCGGCGTCGTCGTCGTCGGCGTCGGTGTCATCGTCGTCGTCGTCGTTGTCGTCGTCGTCGCCGAATTCGTTGGAGACGTCGTCGGTGTCGTCGTAGTCGTCGTCGTCGGCGTCGTCGTCGTGGACGTCGCTGTCGTCGTCGGCGTCGGTGTCGTTGCTAAGTGCCATGTGGTACCTACCGTCACGGTCTTAAGAGGTTTTGCAAACCAAGTTGCGGGTGGGTGGGTGGGATGTTTGCAAGAGCATGGGGTGTTTCAAATCACGGGTAACAATCATTTGCACCACATGGTTTGCATCGCCCCCCATACACCGCATAGTTTGCGCCACATAGCATGCACCACAAGGCTTGCATCGCATAGCTTGCGCCTTGTAGCTTGAACCACATAGCTTGGCCCACCAAGCTTGCAACGCGTATCTGGCACCACATAGTTTGCACCGCATAGTTTGCACAACATAGTTTGCACCACATAGCTTATACCATGCAGCTTGCGCTGCAATTCTTGCTTCACATTGCTTGCAGCATATTGCTTGCACCACATAGCTCACACCACACAGCGTGCACCACATGAATTGCACAGCGTATCATACATCACATGGCGTGCACATCACAGCTTGCACCACCTAGCTTGCACCATGTAGCCTACACACACCGTTGCTTGTACCACATACTTACACCTCGTAACTTGTACTACATAGCTTTCGTCAACTGGCTTAACCATCCATCGCGCACTAGTTCATCGTTTGGGGTCCACGCTGACACACGTAGTGTTAGTTTTATCTCTGGTTCCAGTGCGAGGCGGCTCGGTCAGGATTCTAGGTTGGCAGTGTTCTGCGGGTCGGTGATGATATGCTGGAGCTCGTTTCAATTGGGTGAGCGGATCTGTTGGGCTCGAGCTGACTTTCAAACGTGTGGGTGCGGCTATGTGGGTTGGAACTTTGGCTGGTGGGTTTGGATCTATTGGGTTGCAGGTTTGGCCGATCGGGTGAGGATATTCGGGTTGCCGGTGTGTGCGTGTGTGTGGGTGAGGATCGTTGGGTGCAGTTCTATCTGTGGTGGGGGGGTATGTCGTCGCAAGCCATTTGGCAGGTTGTCATACGTAGCTGCCCTTCTGATGACGAATGTGGCGAGAGTGAGAGAACAACATGTGTGACTTCATCTATCGCGGCCCTGTGTGAGGCACCGCCACGCATATGCTCAGTGTGGTTCTGCGGCCTCTGGTCATGCCGCTTGCGTAAGGGGAAAGCGAAGCTGCCTCAGTCAGCATCGACAGCTTGGGTGCTGCGCACTGAGCAACCCGCCGAGCGCTCCACTGTTCATAGGGGTTCTGGTACTGGCGCACAGAATAATATTCATGCGTCTATCGGACTTCGCTCCGTTGTGGTTTTGCCAGCTTGGAGCGTTGTCGTGCGCTGCAGGCGTGCACAGCATCGCGTGCAAGTCGGCGGAGGGGCAGTTTCATGCAGCACGCTCCGCTGCGAGGGGGCAGCCTGGGCTCGGCGAGAGCCGCGCGTGGGCGCCACGCGACGCGGACCAGTCATACCTCCTCCACCACCTCCTCCACCTCCTCCTCCTCCTCCTCCTCCTCCTCCTCCTCCTCCTCCCTGCCCGCTTTGCGCCTACTGGCAGCCTTCGGGGAACAGACGGGCATCTGGACAGTGCTTCGGCGGGCTTGTTTTCACATTTTCGGGAGCCGTCTTAGTCTGCACGCGCGGTCCTCGGCGCGTCTCCGAGTCCGTGCATGTCCGCGCCCCCTCCTCCGGCGGTGAAGGAGGGGCCAGAAGGAGCCCATCGAGGCGCCGCGAGCCTTACGAGGGGATGGATGAACGAGGGGGAGGGAGGGGCGGACGGAATGACGGAAGGAGGGACGGATGGATAGGAATAGGAATTGGGGATGCGAAGGAAATGGGGAGGGGGGGCCAGGTCTTGGAGCAGCGAATGGGGAACGGGGAGATGTGGAAGAAGGACAGGGCGACGGAGGGAATGGACGGGAATGGAGTCAGGAAGGGAAAGGGAGGGGAATGGGAGTGGAGTGGTGGGGAATATATGTGATGGGAATGACGGGATGTATGATCCCGGGTCGAGGGTTCACAACCCCCCCAAATGTGATGGGTCCCAGGGTTCCACAGCCCCCCCAGATGGGATGGGGGGGACGACGACGATGCCGCCGCCGTCGCCGCCGTCGCCGACGACGACGACGACGACGACGACGACGACGACGACGACGACGACGACGATGAGGTCGTGGACGCCGACGCCGACGACGATCACGACGACGCCGACGCCGACGCCGACGCCGACGAAAGACGACGACGTTGACGTTGACGTTAATGACGCCGCCGACGACGACGACGCCGATGCCGACGCCGACGACGACGATCACGACGCCGACGATGACTCCGTCGACGGAAGACGACGACGACGGCGATGACGTTCAGCCTCCACCACGCCACGCCCACAGGGCCACGACCACTGGGGGGGGGGGGGGGGCGACCCCAATCCGCGAGACTTTCGCGATGCTCACGAACGTACCCGTCCAGCGGGGGTGGGGGGATTGCATTAGCACGTGTGGGGGGGTAGCCCTGGATCCTATACGGGAATGGGCAGAGGGGGGATACGAATACAGGGATGGGGGTGACCCATCGCCGTAGGACTGATTCTTTGAAGGGCTTCGCCCTCTGCCGCCGCCCACCCTCGGAAGCCGGGCAAGGGCTGCTAAATCCGTGGCTGCTAAAATCGACCACCGGGGAGTTGTCTCCGTCCTTCCGGGAAGAAGCCCGTTGACTGTTTCGCGTGCCGCGCCTCATTCCGGGAAGTTGTTTTTTTTTCCGTCCGGGAGGGCCGTTTTAGCAGCCACGGTTTTAGCAGCCCTCGCCCAGCTTTCGACACCCCTCAGATTGCTTGTGTGGTCACGCCTGGTCGGTAGGTTGGTCGGTGTTCTTGTCGGTTGGCTCGCTGTCAACCTGGTTGATTGGTTTGTTGTCTGATTTCGTGGTTGGCAGTTGACGTCGGGTGTTTGCTGGCTGGTCGGTTGCGCGCGCCTGCAGTATTTGATGTGGGGTGGTGGCCCCAGGAGTGTAATTGACGAGGGTTCGCGGCGTCTGGAGCGCGCGTGTGCCCTAGCAATTTTCAAGGATTCGCGGCTCAGGTCCAGGGCAGAGATTTTAGGAAGCGACGGGTTGTTTGGGAGATTGACGCCCCGAGCAGATGTCACACCCTATAACACCGCAACGTTTTGGTGGTGGTTCTTTTTTGGGCAGGCTCCCTGGGGTGGGTTCGTGGCCTCGGGAGCGCGAACTCGCTGTGCTTTGCTGAGGACTGTGGTCTCGAGGGCGCGAAGGTGTCGCACTCTATACGGGATTCTAGCCTCGGTGTGCTAATGCGTATCCATTTTTGTCGGGACAGTTGCCTCGGGAGCGGGAGTGTGGTGTAATTTACAAGGGGCTGAACCTCTGGGAACGCGATTACTACGTGATTTACAAGGAATTGCTCTTTCGGGAGCGCGAATCTCTTGTACACTTAGATGTTTTCCTTGGGGAAGCGAGTGTTCCGTAATTTGCGGGTTTGTGGTTTCGGGACCGCGATCATGTTGTACGTTGTTAGGCGTTATGATCATTGGAGCGCGATCATGAAGCACTTTTGCCTTGGGTGGTTGAGTGGGAAACGCGCGTTCTTTGTAAGTTGCAAGGGGCTGGGGAACGTGAGCTCGCAGGGATTTACAAGGAATTCTTGCCCCGGGAGCTTGGATACATGTTGATGTTTATAGGGGTTAGGGGATCCGAACGCGTCGGAATTTACAAAGGGTTGGAATTTCGGAGCGCAACCTTGTCGTACATTGTTCGGGGTTGTTGGATTGTGAGCGCGACAGCGAGGTAATTTACGTACAAGGGACTGTGGCTTCGGGAGCGCGGTTGCGGTGTGATTTGCGAGGGGTTATGGCCTCTGGGGCGCAATCTTGTTGTAATTCAAGAGGGGTTGTTGCTTCTGGAGCGCGAGCGCCTAGTCATTTACCAGGGCTCTTACTTTCGAGAGCGTTCGAGATCAAGACTTCGTTGTGATGTGCAGAAGCCTTCTGCACATCACAACGATACCGCGCTTCAAGGTTGTGGCCACAACCTTCAAGGTCGTGGCCTCGTGAACCCAAACTGATTGTAACGTACTCGGGATTGTAGCCTCGGGAGCGCGAGTACGGCGTAGTTTGAAGTGATATTGCAATCTCAGGAGTGTGACCCCGTTGTATGTCACGATGGATAGGTTTTTAGAGTGCGAACTCGCAGTGCATTGCGAGGGGCCGTCTGCGGCGCTGAGGCGGGAGCGCCGGTCCTGTGGAAAAGCAAGAAAGTATCGAGCGGGAGCGCCGGTTTTGTTGGAAACGCGGCTTTGGGCGGCGAGCAAGAGCTTCGGTTCTGAGCGGAAAAGGAGGACGTATCGAGCGGGAGCGTTGAATTCTCACCTAAAGAATCACTGTTGTTGATTCCCCCTTGCCCGGTAACCGTTGCATGTTGCAATTCAAATATGTCTCCCGGGGCTCGCACCCAGTTTTTTACTAGGGGAAGCCAGGGATCACCAAACTGTCGGGCTGAGCGAGGCCCCGGACGAAATTTCGGTGAACTGTCTCATGTTCCGGTTGGTGTACTTTTTTGCTTGATGTCGTTGGTGCGCGTTGTTCCATTGGTTTTTTGGAATGCTCGTCGCGATGCCGCAGCGCATGGCCAGGCCCCGACTCGCCCGGGCCCCGGTATGGCGGCAGCCTTGCTGGTGCTGAAGAGAAGCCCGCGGGAAGGTCTGGAGCGAGCTGTGCTTGCAGCGATCGTTTGCCAACGTCGTGCATTACTTCGATCGGGGCGCGGCAGGCCCGCGAAGTCGACGCAGCATCGGAAGGCCGCGTGGCGTGTCGAGTGGCGCGGCTTCTGCTCTAGTCAGGCTCTCTCGCTCCCAGCTTTCCTCCTGCGCACTTTTACTTTCTCCTCCTCGTTCTTGGTCCTCCCCTCCCGCCCCCGCGCGTGCTGGTGTCTGCGCGGAAGCGGTGCGGTCCGGCATGGTGCCTCGAAGTCGTCGTCATCGTCCTTTTCGTGTTCAGGCCAGGGGATACCGCGCCCCTGTCGCGCCTGGAGTGCTTTGCGAGGTGGCCCCGCAAGCGGCGGCGGCTTTGCGGCAGCGCGCTCGCGGGCGGGATGCCTCGCAGTGGCGGTCGTCGTCGTCTTCAATGTCGCGTCCGTCGTCTTCACCGTCGTCGTCGTCATTGGTCGTCGCCCTCCTCTCTGTGCCCGCGCGTCGGGGCGAATAGACCCCCAGCGCTTCCTCGTGCGATTGCGGGCGCGTTTGATTTCACATCCTCCTGATTTGGAGTGGAGAACCCGTTCGCCGAAATGTTTCGGGGGACAGCTCTGCCAGACGAGTGGGACTCCATGTGTTTCAGGGCCGCCTCCCTGGCCAGGACGCACTCACGCGCGCGCCTCGGAACTCCGCGCGCAGAAGCCTGCCCCGTCTCACTGCGTCGAGCTTGCCCGTCCGTTGGCCCCCCGCGTTTTCGCGGGGCAAGTGCGCCCTCGTTCTTGTCCCGCCTTGACTCTGGGGTGCACTTGGGGGTGTTTGCGGGGGCCGAAGTTGGGACTTCCGGAGTGTCCACTGGGCCATCCAGAGAACCCTCGATGAACAAATTGCGCGCGGTTTGAACGCCCCCCATGAAAAACCTTTTCCGGGCGGGGCTGCGCGGTGCATGTGGCTCAAGGGCCCAAGGGTCGCGGGCCCTCCTCACTCGACGACCCAGGAGTCTTGGGCCCGGGGCCCCAGGGCTGTTCCACGGACTTCGCGGGCCCCTGACTCTACGGGCCAGGAGCCCTCGACCTGGGACGATAGTCTTCAGGAGTCGTTGGACCTTCCTTGTGGGGCCCGAGAAGTCCCGCCACTTGGCTCTGGGGGCCCGAGTATCGTGGGCCCTTCGACAGTGAGCCCGAGGGGATCGCGCGCCCTGGGCTTCCGCGGAGTCCGTGGGCCTTGGCCCCGGAGTCAAGGAAGTTTTGCGCCCCTTTGGTCGAGGCCCTGGATTCAGGGCCCGTGGGGCCCCAGGCGCACCGGTCACCCGCGTGCGCCGGGCTGGCCCCCCCGAGATGCCACCGAAAGATGTCCCGAAAGATGGCTGTTTCACATCGCCGAATCTTCAGCGAAAGTCGGGTGAATCATCTTCTGATTTGTTTTTTACAGTGCGGAGCACCATTCGGGGCGTCGACGGGCAAGATTCGGAGCCCTTCCTCGGCGTGATTCAGGGCCCCATTCGGGGCGCCGACGGGCAGGATTTGGAGCTGGTGCGCGGCCGCCACAGGCAGGATTCGGTGGTTGGATTCGGCTACGTGAGGCGTGCTCACAAGGCTGTCCTCGACCGCCTTTCAGAACCATGTCAGGAGCCTTCTCGGAGCTTCTCGAGCCTCTCAAGATCATCTCAGATGCTTTCAGAGCTCCCTGTCAGGAGGTGGGCCTCGCACGGACATGCTCCAGGACCGCTGCGCGAGCTCTCCAGGGGCCTCTCAGGAGCCTCAGAGGAGCCCTTGTGGTGGCATCGGGAGGTTCTGTAGGAGCCCTGAGGCCGTCCGAGGAGCTTCTGGGGAGCTCCCCCCGGCGCCCAAGTCCGAGCGCGAGAACCGACCGGCTCCTTCGGGAGGGGGCTCGTGGCCGCGCGGCTCCGCACGAGGGTGCCGAAGGGGCCTCGCGACCTTCCCTTTTCCTGCGTTTCATGTCTGGTTCGCTCCTCCTTTCCCCCTTTGCCTGTGGCTTTGCGTTGTCTGTCTTACTCCTCCGCCTGTTCCTCGCCCTCG